CTCATGTGGAGGCGGCCACCTTTTAATGAGCGCATGTGATTGTCGAAGGATAGCAGGGAGCACGGGAGGGCAGGCATGCCACCCTCTGTCCTCCAGCCCCTGACGTGATTGGCTCACTCCAGGGCCAGTCAACCTCCCAGGTCACAGGTTAGGGGAGGAGCTTACTCAGAGCAGAGCCGGAGCACCAGTGAAGCCTGGGGTGTTAGGCTGCTCTGCAGGGACTGGTGAGTTACTGAGCCATCCAAGTTCTTGTATGTCATTAACATGAGCGTGCAGGCGCCTTCAGTCTTTCTAGCTACCCGCATACCTTCATTTTCCTGCCCCCCAAAATGTATCTGTAACATCCTGTGCTGACAGACAACCCCTCTGGTGTAGACCTTGAAGGGCTGAAGCAAGCACCCCAGGAGTGTGTGTATGTAATGAAGGTGTCTCAAATACCATTTAGCTGCCCCTAGGATGTAGGTTGCTGTTAAGGTCTATGTGCATGAAAAATTACTGTTTGTGATAAAATGTTTTCGAAGTATGACACAGCCATAGAGCCCAATTAAAGATGAGAAACGGAGGCTTAGAAGGGTGAAGGCGTGTCCGAAGTCACCAAGTACGTTACCAGTCTGTGTTCCCCATCACACTAGTGACCAGCAAGTAACACTGGAAACATCCTGAAAGGAGGCATTCCCCCCAGTACCAGTGAACACCAATTTCGTTTTCTGTTCCTCCCATCCTTTCCATCCACAGTAGCAGGGCTGCCTCTATGACTGGTCCTTAAAAATCCTATGTAATAAAAGCCTAATATACTAAGTGTCTGGTTGTCCAGTTGGCCGTTCAACTAATCAAAGGGTAATATACTAATGATATGCTAAGGTCGTTTAATTGCTCGCTATGACGTGCACTGACCACCAGGGGGCAGACGCCCCGACCTGTAGGTTAGCTTGCTGCTGGGGTCCAGCTGATTGGGACTGAGTGAGGGCTGGAGCCCTCCAGCTGTCCCTCCCCAGCTGTCCGGCCCCCATCGGCCCCTACTGGGACTGAGCAAGACAGTCCCAATCAGCTCTGATCGCTGGCCAGCCTGAGGGACCCCACCAAGCACAAATCCGTGCACTGGGACTCTAGTATGAAATCCTATACAATAAAGAGGTAATATGCAAATTGACCCTCACACCCTCGCATCACAAGATGGCTGTCCCCACGTCGTCACAAATGGCTGGGAAGGGAGGGCAGTTGGGGGGACCAGGCCTGTAGGGGAGGGCAGTTGGGGCAATCGGGCTGGCAGGGGAGCAGTTAGGTATCAATCAGGCCTGCAGGGGAGCTGTTAGGGGGTGGTAAGGCTGGCAGGCAGGCGAGTGGTTAGGAGCCAGAAGTCCCGGATTGTGAGAGGGATGTCTGAACACCGGCATTCAGATATCCCCCAAGGGGTCCCAGATTGGAGAGGGTGCAGGCTGGGCTGAAGGACCCCCCCCACACACACACCCGCCGCCCCGTGCATGAATTTCATGCAAAAAAAATATACATACATATATATATGCTCCAGGCCCAGCCGTTGCCACGAGCCACCATGCAAGTCGCAGGCCCCTCTGCACCGTGCAAGCCACAAGACTCAGAGTCCTGCCCACCAGCGCTGCGGGACCTACAGCAGAGTCCTGCCCGGCCTCCAGCACCACCATGGGACCCATCAATGCACCTCCAGTCTTTGGTCGTTACGGCGTTACAACCACTGGGTTTTTATTATATATATGTATGTGTGTGTGTGTGTGCATGTGTGTGTGTGTGTGTGTGTGTATACTGAGTGGTCAGATTATTATGACCACCTGATGTGTACCTCGTTGGGCCCCCTTTTGCCTTCAATACTGCGGCAATTCTTCTTGGCACTGACTCCACGAGATGTTGCAAGGTGATGTGAGGAATCTGACACCATGCCTGATGAATAGCACTGTCCAGTT